TGAATGATATCACCTGTGTTCAGTACAGAATGAATGATATCACCTGTGTTCAGTACAGAATGAATGATATCACCTGTGTTCAGTACAGAATGAATGATATTATATGTGTTCAGTACAGAATGAATGATATCACCTGTGTTCAGTACAGAATGAATGATATCACCTGTGTTCAGTACAGAATGACTGATATCACCTGTGTTCAGTACAGAATGAATGATATCACCTATGTTCAGTATATAATGAATGATATCACCTGCGTTCAGAATAGAATGAATGATATCATCTGTGTTCAGTACAGAATGAATGATATCACCTGTGTTCAGTAACAGAGAATGAATGATATCACCTGTGTTCAGTACAGAATGAATGATATCACCTGTGTTCAGTACAGAATGAATGATATCACCTGTGTTCAGTACAGAATGAATGATATCACCTGTGTTCAGTACAGAATGAATGATATCACCTGTGTTCAGTACAGAATGAATGATATCACCTGTGTTCAGTAACAGAGAATGAATGATATCACCTGTGTTCAGTACAGAATGAATGATATCACCTGTGTTCAGTAACAGAGAATGAATGATATCACCTGTGTTCAGTACAGAATGAATGATATCACCTGTGTTCAGTAACAGAGAATGAATGATATCACCTGTGTTCAGTACAGAATGAATGATATCACCTGTGTTCAGTACAGAATGAATGATATCACCTGTGTTCAGTACAGAATGAATGATATCACCTGTGTTCAGTACAGAATGAACGATATCACCTGTGTTCAGTACAAAATGAATGATATCACCAGTGTTCAGTAACAGAGAATGAATGATATCACCTGTGTTCAGTACAGAATGAATGATATCACCTGTGTTCAGTAACAGAGAATGAATGATATCACCTGTGTTCAGTAACAGAGAATGAATGATATCACCTGTGTTCAGTACAGAATGAATGATATCACCTGTGTTCAGTACAGAATGAATGATATTACCTGTGTTCAGTACAGAATGAATGATATTATATGTGTTCAGTACAGAATGAATGATATAATATGTGTTCAGTACAGAATGAATGATATTACCAGTGTTCAGTACAAGAGAATGAATGATATCACCTGTGTTCAGTACAGAATGAATGATATTATATGTGTTCAGTACAGAATGAATGATATCACCTGTGTTCAGTACAGAATGAATGATATCACCTGTGTTCAGTACAGAATGAATGATATCACCTGCGTTCAGTACAGAATGACTGATATCACCTGTGTTCAGTACAGAATGAATGATATCACCTGTGTTCAGTACAGAATGAATGATATCACCTGTGTTCAGTACAGAATGAATGATATCACCTGTGTTCAGTACAGAATGAATGATATCACCTGTGTTCAGTACAGAATGAATGATATCACCTGTGTTCAGTACTGAATCAATGATATCACCTGTGTTCAGTAACAGAGAATGAATGATATCACCTGTGTTCAGTACAGAATGAATGATATCACCTGTGTTCAGTACAGAATGAATGATATCACCTGTGTTCAGTACAGAATGAATGATATCACCTGTGTTCAGTACAGAATGAATGATATTACCTGTGTTCAGTACAGAATGAATGATATCACCTGTGTTCAGTACAAAATGAATGATATCATCTGTGTTCAGTACAGAATGAATGATATCACCTGTGTTCAGTAACAGAATGAATGATATCACCTGTGTTCAGTACAGAATGAATGATATTACCTGTGTTCAGTACAGAATGAATGATATTACCTGTGTTCAGTACAGAATGAATGATATCACCTGTGTTCAGTACAGAATGAATGATATCACCTGTGTTCAGTACAGAATGAATGATATCACCTGTGTTCAGTACAGAATGAATGATATCACCTGTGTTCAGTACTGAATCAATGATATCACCTGTGTTCAGTACAGAATGAATGATTTCACCTGTGTTCAGTAACAGAGAATGAATGATATCACCTGTGTTCAGTAACAGAGAATGAATCACCTGTGTTCATACAGATATCACCTGTGTTCAGTACAGAATGAATATATCACCTGTGTTCAGTACAACAACGTCTTCCAACAAAGACTGGTATGCGAACAGTGATGGGCCATAAACTACTGAGATCGTTCCTCTGAATAATATGCCAGTGTACATGAGGACTTCCAGCTTACCTGTGTGTCGTTGAGAAGGCCATTGAAGGAAGAACTACAGAATTATATTGTTATACTTTTTAATGGTTTTTATTTTCACTCGATTTTACAAAAACCTTTTCGAAACAATTTTCATGTTTCGACAAAGGTTCAGTGAAAGGTTGTACTAATATTTTCGATGTTAAAGATAATGTGAAGTTAGTATCGGTAATTTCATTAGAGAACTATTCCAGTTCATCAATATTTCACAAAAAAAATTGTTTGGACTTGATTATTTTCTAGGCTTGAGACAGACTATTAGATACAAATTTTGTATCTCCATTTTCATTTAAAATTCTATCATTTAAATTCATCTGTTGTATAAGTGAACATCGTGAGTTTGGAAAATCGCTATATTAAGTCATTTATTATAAATATATCTAGATTTCAACACCACAAATTTGTATTTTTATTTTTCAAATACGTTGAAAATTTATACAGCTGTTACGTCATAAAGCGCAATAATTACAAGCGAAACCCTGTAGAAAGAATGGATAACGAAAATTTTGTAACGTTTCTCAATTTCACTTATAGATCTATTGATGATTGGTTACCATGGTAAGTAATCTATACACCGTGGTCACTGGGAACCTACAAATCGTTATACCTATCTATATCTCCTTACAACGGTCTTTACTTTTAACGAAGCGCAAAAAAACTTGACAAGCATGACATTCTAGGTATTCTTATTGTCGATTTTCCATTTATTAGTAAAACGCCTGATTCACAAAACTACATAGTTAACAATTTGGTAATGAACGCCCCAGTGAAAAGCACATTTGAATAAAAAGAATTTAGAATTAGATACAGTAGAGCCAAACAATGAATGACACTGCACCATACAGCTGTCCTACATTGTTGAAATCTAGGTGGCAACTGAGGATGTCATAAAATTCAATAAATTTCATAAGTTTTTAATACTGAATAATTTTTATGTAAAACTGATATAAACGTGGCGTCAGATATTTCTTAAAAATCCAGAAACATTGGCGCTGTTCTGATTGGTTTAAGATAAAACTTTAAATGCTCGGTATGAAGATAGGATCATGGCAATGAGGATGCAATGTTTCATCAGAACTTTGATAATCTTTTAATGATTAATGAAGAGAGCTTAAATTCTTTTCTTAGCCTGTATGTAAAAATGTTTATAGATATTCGTAGGATAGCGGATGTCGACATGCATTGCGTTACAATTATAATTTCAACAACCTATCCCTAACACGGCCCAATTAGTAGATGTGCATGTTTAACATCTGTTCTGTGACACATTCACGCGCAGATATAATATTTGTTATTGACTGGATTCTTAAAGTTTACCTTTCCTGCATATCTTAGTAATAAATACGATTATGTAGTTTATAGTTGTTTTATTGTCAATTAATATATAGATCTGCCGAGGTTTTCACAAAAAGGGTGTTTCTCTGAGTTTTATTCCCCCTTTTTAACGCTCGATACAAGCTCTGTTGTTTTCCTGTATACTAATCATATCGAGAACTTTAAGTTTTCCAAGTTTTTGAATATTCATGACATGGTAGTTCACAAGGAGAATTGTTGAATTAAATTAACAAAATTTACGTTTTCTTAGTCAGACAAAAATTAAAAAAAAAAGATGTTCCAGTTTGATTGTGCTGAACCACTGTGTTGAATTTAACACAGCTGATTTATCCTTACAATACTTTAAGTAAGTCCCCGTCAAAACAAGACACATTCTTACAATTGTGAGAATTCGAGAAATTCGAAAAACTGCACTTGCCATCGTGGTGTGGATTTCCATAAACGCAAGCTTTCTCTTTCACGCATAAAACTTAGGAAACATACGAGAGATAATTTTTCATACATCGATACGTTTTATGAACTCCTGTAGAAATTTCTAATCTAGAGGATTTCTACTCCATCTTCAAAGTGTGCCCTATATAATGTATGATACCATTTTTTATCATTGTATATCCAAGATTGGAAGATGACTGTATCTACCTGACGGAAATGCAAAACTGAATGAACAGCGGTGTGTACATGGTTTAGAATTCATATACTTTTGGTGACTAATCTGTATCTGAACGGATTTCAGTAACATTCACAAACATATTCTCATCACTCTGAATACCACTCTTTAGTAGAATCAATTATTCAAATATTTTGTTCTTAAAATTTATTTACGGAAAAATAAACCTCTCACCTGTAACTTCCGAACAATCATCCTTGAATAAGAATGAAACAATTTTACACTTTTTGATATTATCTTCCCTAAAAAAAATCCAAATCCATGTTTCGTTTAGATATTTAAACTCCGATTTCTCACGATCCCGAGTTTAGGCCTGAATAGTAATTTCTTACGTGGGTTATTTGGCGCGGATATTCACGATGTTTGCTTCGCCAGTAAACAATTTATCAACCTATCACTTAAAGCTAAAATAACATATTCTGAAAATTCTTTTAAAACTATTTTGTTAATAGACAAACAAAACTAGAGGCGTGTTACATCCGGAACCTATCCCGGAACTGTACCTCTAACTGAAGGTAAACTGATTTGTCAAGCATACTACCATATACCAGGTCAATAACGAGAATTCTGAAAGTTTAATTTTACCTCTGGTGAATTTCACTAGGCAGATAATTAGTTGGGCAAGCAGATGAGACGAATTGACGATAGCCGCCGTCGCATGGTATAGAAATGTTTGCTGGGTAACGGTCTTTCAATAGCTAGCTTGGATTTAATCTCTACCAAATATGCCAATTGGTTTCTGGGATACAAGTCTTCTATGGAATTAACAAAAAAATACAGCTACTCACCTGTCGGTGGGATGTCCCCCATGGTAGTGAACTGATCCATGTGGTGTTGATACACCCTTCGTCGACTAGTAAACGGCGCGCACTCGACCAAACGTAATTGAAACTTCAAAATTGTATCTGTCAACCTGGTCCGGATTACACAGTCACCGGCTTCGGGTTTAATAGAACTATTCTAGAATATTACACGACTTCAATTTTTCATTCCGTCGATTATACAATTAGCATGATCATATGAGGTAGATGTACGTAAAATACTTTTTTATGACATGTGTCACGTGATCATTTGGTCAGACCTTTTGAATATGCATGACGAGATTTGAGGATGCTTGTGAAGGCTCACGTGTGTCTCACAGCGCTGGAAACGGCAGCTTTAATATGCAAGACAGTGATTTGATTGGATAAGAAAATGCTTCTGACGCTGAAAATTAATTTTCCTGAAATTGGACAGGATGTCACTATTGAACTTACAGGAGGATACAAACCTGTTATTATATCATTATGTCTAACTATATCTTAATTGGAAGAATATATATATAACATTTCCTAATTAAGGCAATAGCATCACGTGTCTATTAGACAATATCATATACAATACTTAATGATCACGACTATCATACGAAATGGAACCGTTTATTGGTGTTCCTGCAGACGGAGAAGCTATAATCTTCAGACAGCCGCATCCTTGGTGAAAATCCACAACATATCAAAAAGGAATTGATAGATTATTAACGATTAGGATAAAGTAGACAAAAAAGATAATACAAAAACACCATTCGGAGAGAGAAGAATACTGTCAATTTTTGAGTACGATATTTCAAAATGGTTTTTACACTATATAGCATGATTGCAACCAAAGAGAATTTCTGCCAGACACTTTTCGTGCATAATATCAGAACGTGTTGCAGCCATGAGGTTAACACCAAAATAATTTAACTCACTTGCTTTAAAACATGAAAAACGTCATGAATTTTGGAATACAAATATAGATTGGATTGTTAGTTATTCATTGATAGTACAAATCTAATATGTTCATCATGTATCTACATGGAAAGCTCTTTGAAGTTGTATATATAAACGAAACGGGAATCAAGTATCAATAAATAAATAAGATGGAAAACAAATAAACAAACATTTAACATTCAACACGTATTATACAACCCTATTGTTAGTAATTGAGATATATGTACAATAGAAATACAGTGCAATTATGTGGTTACAAAAAAAATAGAGAACATAGATACAGATTTGAAAAAGAAAAAAAAGTTTACAAATTCTGTTTCAAAAGTAAAAAGGATAAAGAATAATAAATTAACACTGTTAACAACTTTAAAGCCTCGGATTCGTCCTATAAAGGTACTTGACTTAGTAGCTCAGCGGTGAAAGCAGTAATAGAGATGTGATCCTGTCATTTACCAACACAATGGACGAGACGTCCCTACCGCCCTCTATGTCATCAATAGCAGCTTTATTACCGGATTAGGGAAATATACAGCGTCGCTTTTAATAAAAATTGAATAAAGTCGTTACATTCCTTCACACTCCTAACCTGCTGCAGTAGAAAGGTGGGGAGAGTTTCTGTAGAAATAGGTCTCTCTAATTCACCGGTGTTTGTACTTTGTTCTTGGGTGTACATCAAGAAGGGTCATCTCCAGTTGATACATTACAATACAATACAACACAACACAACACAAATACACTACACTACAATACAACACAACACAATACAACACAACACAACACAATACAACACAACACAACACAATACAACACAATAAAACACAATACAATACAATACAATACAATACAACACAACACAAATACACTACACTACAATACAACACAACACAATACAACACAATACAATACAATACAATACAACACAACACAATACAACACAATAAAACACAATACAATACAACACAATACATATAATTTAAATTATTGATTTTATTCAGATACAGACACAGGCTATGCTTTAATGTTATATTGTATGTGGAATATATTTACCTGTAATATAGTAGGTGGAATATATGTACATGTAATATTGTACGTGGAATATATTTAAATGTAATATTGTATGTGGAATATATTTAAATGTAATATTGTATGTGGAACATATTTACCTGTGATATTGTATGAGGAATATATTTACCTGTAATATTGTATGTGGAACATATTTACCTGTAATATTGTACGTGGAATATATTTAAATGTAATATTGTATGTGGAATATATTTAAATGTAATATTGTATGTGGAACATATTTACCTGTAATATAGTGTAATATATTTAAATGTAATATTGTATGTGGAATATATTTACCTGTAATATTGTAAATATATTTACCTGTAATATAGTACGTGGAATATATGTACATGTAATATTGTATGTGGAATATATTTACCTGTAATATAGTAGGTGGAATATATGTACATGTAATATTGTATGTGGAATATATTTACATGTAATATTGTATATATGTTATATAGTATGTGGAATATATTTACATGTAATATTGTATGTGTATATGTTATATAGTATGTGGAATATATTTACATGTAATATTGTATATGGAATATATTTACCTGTAATATTGTACGTGGGATATATCTACATGTAATATAGTACGTGGAATATATTTACATGTAATATAGTATGTGGAATATATTTACCTGTAATATAGTACGTGGAATATATTTAAATGTTATATTGTATGTGGAATATATTTACCTGTAATATAGTACGTGGAATATATTTAAATGTAATATTGTATGTGGAATATATTTACCTGTAATATTGTACGTGGAATATATTTACATGTAATATTATACGTGGGATATATCTACCTGTAATATAGTACGTGGAATATATTTACCTATAATATAGTACGTGGAATATATTTACCTGTAATATTGTATGTGGAATATATTTAAATGTAATATTGTATGTATAATATATTTACATGTAATATTGTATGTGGAATATATTTACATGTAATATAGTATGTGGAATATATTTACATGTAATATTGTATTAGGGATATATCTACCTGTAATATAGTACGTGGAATATATTTACCTATAATATAGTACGTGGAATATATTTACATGTAATATTGTATGTGGAATATATTTATATGTAATATAGTACGTGGAATATATTTAAATGTAATATTGTATGTGGAATATATTTAAATGTAATATTGTACGTGGAATATATTTACCTGTAATATTGTATGTGGAATATATTTATATGTAATATAGTACGTGGAATATATTTAAATGTAATATTGTATGTGGAATATATTTAAATGTAATATTGTACGTGGAATATATTTACCTGTAATATTGTACGTGGAATATATGTACATGTAATATTGTATGTGTACATGTAATATTGTATGTGGAATATATTTACCTGTAATATTGTACGTGGAATATATGTACATGTAATATTGTATGTGTACATGTAATATTGTATGTAGAATATATTTACCTGTAATATTGTATGTGGAATATATTTACATGTAATATTTTACGTGGGATATATCTACCTGTAATATAGTACGTGGAATATATTTACCTATAATATTGTACGTGGAATATATTTACATGTAATATAGTATGTGGAATATATTTACATGTAATATTGTATATGGAATATATTTACCTGTAATATTGTACGTGGGATATATCTACATGTAATATAGTACGTGGAATATATTTACATGTAATATAGTATGTGGAATATATTTACCTGTAATATAGTACGTGGAATATATTTAAATGTTATATTGTATGTGGAATATATTTACCTGTAATATAGTACGTGGAATATATTTAAATGTAATATTGTATGTGGAATATATTTACCTGTAATATTGTACGTGGAATATATTTACATGTAATATTATACGTGGGATATATCTACCTGTAATATAGTACGTGGAATATATTTACCTATAATATAGTACGTGGAATATATTTACCTGTAATATTGTATGTGGAATATATTTAAATGTAATATTGTATGTATAATATATTTACATGTAATATTGTATGTGGAATATATTTACATGTAATATAGTATGTGGAATATATTTACATGTAATATTGTATTAGGGATATATCTACCTGTAATATAGTACGTGGAATATATTTACCTATAATATAGTACGTGGAATATATTTACATGTAATATTGTATGTGGAATATATTTATATGTAATATAGTACGTGGAATATATTTAAATGTAATATTGTATGTGGAATATATTTAAATGTAATATTGTACGTGGAATATATTTACCTGTAATATTGTATGTGGAATATATTTATATGTAATATAGTACGTGGAATATATTTAAATGTAATATTGTATGTGGAATATATTTAAATGTAATATTGTACGTGGAATATATTTACCTGTAATATTGTACGTGGAATATATGTACATGTAATATTGTATGTGTACATGTAATATTGTATGTGGAATATATTTACCTGTAATATTGTACGTGGAATATATGTACATGTAATATTGTATGTGTACATGTAATATTGTATGTAGAATATATTTACCTGTAATATTGTATGTGGAATATATTTACATGTAATATTTTACGTGGGATATATCTACCTGTAATATAGTACGTGGAATATATTTACCTATAATATTGTACGTGGAATATATTTACATGTAATATAGTATGTGGAATATATTTACATGTAATATTGTATATATATTTACCTGTAATATATATCTATGTAATATAGTACTGTGGAATATATTTACATGTAATATATTTACATGTACATGTAATATTCAAACATGTTGAATATATTTACATTTCTATATTGGAATATATTTACCTGTAATATAGTACGTGGAATATATTTATGTTATACTGTGTATAACACAAAATAGTACCTTTTATCATTGTATGTGTAACATTATTTAAATATTGTATGAATATATTTACATGATAATATTGTACATTTAATATGTTATAGTAGTTGATATA